AGCACACAGCCCCTCTCCCTCTCTGGGTCTAGAGTCCCCAGTCGCTCCATCTCTCCACGTCATCATCTCTGCTTCCATCTCAAGCATCACTGCTTCTCTGGGTAGGGTCCTGCTCTCCACTCTTTTCCCTTGATGGTCCCAGGGACCACTGCTCCTAGACTGAAAAGTTAATCACTCCCTTCCTTGCTACAAAACGTCTACCTTTACATTTCCAACCCTCACAATCAGTCCTGATAACAATTATTCACTATTGCACCATAAAAGACCCATCCGCATCTTCTTTCATCAGCCCCGCCCAGACAGATTGGCTACTACTCAGTAGAGATTCTACCTTCCTCTGTACTCTCTGGATCTAGGCTCCCTCTTGAAGGCTTGGCTTGTAAGCCAGTCATGTCTTGCCTTTGTAGCCCCCCACCCCCACCCCATTTTGGGTAGCCAATGTCCAAGTTGGCAATCTCTGTCTACCCTGTGTATGAGGGGGTGTCATTGCAGTTTTGATGTGCATCTCCTTAATGACTAATGATATTGAGGATCTTTTCAAGTGTTTAATGGACACCTGGATATATTTTTTGGAGAGATGTCTATTCAAGTCCTTTCTCCATCATTTCAGTGGATTACCTGTTTTGTTATCATTGAGTTGTAAAATAGTCTAGATATTATGACTCTTATCTGATAGATGATTTGCAACTATCTACTCCCATTCAGCGGGATGTTTTTCACTTTCTTTCTTGAGAAAAATATGCTTTTTACAGAGCTGCGTTGTGGTTCATGATTTCTGTAGCTCATTTTCTGTGTTGTCACAGTTCTTATTCACTCATTCATTTCTTTTGTCAACCGAACAATACTTCAGAGAGCTACCTGTTCTGGCCACTAGAGGATAAATAGCAAACAAGAATATTGTGGGAAATCTTGTTTTAGAGGTGATGGATGATAGTGGTGTAAACCAAAAATGAATACAATTTCTGATCATGATGATACCTTTGAACAGAAATAAGATAGGAGGATACAATAGAGAATGATTTGTTCGGGAGGGGGAAGAAAACATGTGTTCACATGTGTTTTCTGTTCTCTCTTCTTTTCACTTTGACAGTGTCATTGAAGCACAAGCTCTTAATTTTGTTTTGTTCATCTTTTTTGTCCCTGTCTTTGCTTGCTTGTCGTTTATGAGCCTGTTTTTGAACCATAGCTGTCCCCAGAGTGCAGGTTCATTCCTCCGTGCAGATGATGTTGTTGTTAGGTGCCATCAAGTCAATTCCGACTCATAGCGACTTTATGTACAACAGATTGAAACACTGCCTGCTCCTGTGCCGTCCTCACAGTGGTTGTTACATTTGAGTGCCTGGCTGTTGCTACTGTGTTAATCCATCTCGTTGTGTGTGTGTGGGTCTTCCTCTTTTTTGACAACCCTTCATTTTACCAAGCATGATGTCCTTCTCTAGGACCAAGCTGGTCCCTACTGACAGCACCCATACCTATAAGCAGTACAAATTACAGTTATGAGCACCAACTATCCAGCCAGACTTCTGTCCCTCCAACTGTAGCTTACTTACCTGTAGCTTTAGGTCAGGTAGCTACACCTTCCGTACCTGTTTCTTCCTCTGCACGACTATGGCTATCAATGCCACCCTCATAGGGCTGCTGTGGGACCCATAGAAACAAATCCTTGTAAAGTACTTAGAACTGTGCCCAAACTAGATGTCAATGCGGACTCATGGCCACCCTACATGTGGTAGCACAGAAGTGTGCTGATTTCTCAGAAATAGATCATCATGCCTTTCTTCCAATGTACCCATTGGTGGATGTGAGCCTCCACCTTTTTAGTTAGTAGCTAAGTATGTGTCTTAGGCTGGGTTTTCTAGAGAAGCAAAACCCATGAAACAAATACATGTGTATTTATAAAGAGTTTACTATCAAGGAAATGGCTTCCAATTGCAGAGTCCCAGGTCCCCAGCAGAAAAGAGAGAGAGAGAGCCTTTCCTGTGTGTCCATTATATTGGCAGCAGGCCACACCCCCAAGGAAGCATCCCTTCAATTCATTGGCTGCTTGTCATTGTTTATCATGGAGCTAACTACGCCTGTATTAGGTTTCATCACCATTGGAGTAAGCACACAGTCAAGTTGACACAGAAATCTAACAATTACAGTATGTTAACTGGTGGTGGTGGTGGTGATGTGTCGTGGAGTCAGTTCCAACTCATAGAGACCCTGTATAGGGTTTCTGAGGCTGTAAATCTTTACAGGAGCAGAAAGCCTCATCTTTCTCCTGCACAACAGCTGGTAGTTTCACACTGCTGACCCTGAGGTTAGCAGTCCGATTCCTACCCGCTATACTACCAGAGCTCCTTATGTTAACTGGGGAACCTTTTTTTCTGCCAAAATTTATTACGTCATTCACAGGCCATACAAAATTATCGACTTAAAAATTAGCCTGCTATATTTGGTTAAACATTTAATTAACTCACCTGAGTCCTGGTTAATGCGCCGGACTACAAAGTCATTTAAACCAGAAGTTTGGTAGTTCAAGCTCACCAGTTGCTCCTCAGAAACCCTATACAGTCGCTATAGGTCAGAACCAACTCAACGACACTTTAACAACAACAAATATGATGGCTAAGGACCTCTGGTAGTGTAGTGGTTGCAAGTTGGGCTGCTAATCTCAAGGTCAGCAGTTTGAAACTCCCAGAGGTTTTGTGGGAGAAAGATGAGGATTTCTGCTCCTGTAAAGATTTACAGCCTCAGAAACCCTATACAGGGTCGCTATGAGTTGGAAACGACTCCACGGAACATAACCAACCACCAGTGTGATGGCTGGAACTACAATTGCCTTGGCAGGCCAGACCAGAGGATTTTACGGGCCTTATACAACCTGCAGGCTGGATGTTCCTCAACCTTGGTGTGTACCATCCTGGGATTCCAGAACAGTTCCTGGTATAGGAACTGTACTATACGTCTGTTACAATTACTGCTTAGGTGTTTGCTATAGTGTTATTGAGGATCCCCAGCGGTACAGTGGATTCAGCTGAGCTGTTAACTGCAAGGTTGGCAGTTCAAACTCATCAGCCGCTCCACAGGAGAAAGATGAGACTATCTACTCCCATAGAATTTTGCAGTCTCAGAAATCCTGCAGAGGAATTCTACTCTGGGGTCTCTGTGAGTTGAAATTGACTTGATGTCACGGGTTTGGTTTGCGTTTTTTATAGTGCTATTGAGGCTCTCTGAATGGTGCAGAAAGAAACCCTAGTGACACAGTGGTTAAAGAGCTTAACTGTAATGAGGAGGTCAGCAGTTAGAACCCAGCAGTAGCTCTGTGCAGAAAGATGTGGCCGTCTGCTTCCTTAAAGATCCAGCACTGGAAACCCTCTAGCGCCACTCTACTGTCCACTCGGGTTGGGTTGCTATGCGTCAGCATCCGCTGAACAACAGTGGGTTTGGCTTTTCCACCCAAAAAGTCTTGGCGATGCAGTGGGTAAGCACTCGGCTGCTAGTAACTTAGTGATGATTTATAACTACCAGTAGCTCTGTGGCCGTGTACTTCAATAAAGATGTGCAGCCTTAGTGACCCTACAGGGAAGTTCTACTCTGTGTGTTGGGCGCCGCTGAGTTGGTTCTGACTCATAGCAACCCTACACACAACAGAACAAAACCGCCCACTCTTGCGCTGCCCTCACAATCGTTACGTTTCGGTTCATTGCTGATGCCACCATGCCAATCCATCTCGTTGGGGGTCTTCCTCTTTTTCGCTGACCCTCCATATCAGCAAGCATGACATGCTTCTCCAGAGATTATTCCCTCCTGATAGATAACATGCCCAAATGATAAGAGATGAAATCTCAGCATAATGGCTTCTAAGGAGCACACAGGTTGTATACTTCTTCCAACACAAAACTGTCGTCAATATTCTTCTCCAACACCGCAACTCAAACACATCAATTCTTCTATGATCTTCCGTATTCATTGTCCAATTTTCACAAGCATATGAGACTATTGAAATTGCCATGGCTTGGGTCAGGCGCACATTAGTCCTCAAACTGACATCTTTGTTCTTGAATACTTTAAAGAGGTTTTATGCAGCAGATTCGCCTAATGCAATACATCGCTTGATTTCTTGACTGCTGGTTTCTATGAGTGTTGAATATGGATCCAAGCAAAACGAAGTCTTTGACAACTTCAATCATTTCTCCATTTAACATGATGTTCTATTTACTGGTCCAGTTGTGAGGATTTTTGTTTTCCTTACATTGAAGTGCAACCCATACTGAAGGCTGTGGTCTCTGATCTTCATCAGTATAAATATTTTAAGTCCCATTCCCTTTCAGCAAGCAAGGCTATATCATCTGCATATCACAGGTTGTTAACGAGTCTTCCTCCAATCCTAATGTCACATTTTCTTCATATAATCCACCTTCTTAGATTCTTTGCTCAGCATACAGACTGAATAAGTGTGGTGAAAGAATACAACCCTGGTGCACATCTTTCCTGATTTCACACCATTCAGCATCCCCTTGTTCTGTTCAAACAACTGCCTCCTGGTTTATGTACAGGTTCCTCATGGGCACAATGAAATGTTCTGGAATACTCATTCTCTGAAATGTTGCCCATAGTTTGTGACAATTCACACAGTCAAAAGCCTTTGATAGTCTCTGTTAATTTGCTGTTGCAACTGCTTTTGAATCATCTTCAGCAAAATTCTACTTGATATTATTGGTATTGTTCCGTGATTTCTGCATCCGGTTGGGTCACCTCTCTTTGGAATGGGCACAAATATGGATCGCTTCCAATCCGTCGGCCAGACATAGATGAGTGAGTACCTTCAGTGCGATTTGGGTTCATGGTTTCATCCATTTCCCAGAGGAGGCCACTAAGGGCCAGAAAGCATGACTAGGTCTATGCCCTCACCCATTCCAGGAACTCCTGACATCCCTGCCCATTTTCTTATCCTGTAGGTTCCCCCGCCCGGTGGCCGCCCCCCACTAGGCCAAATCAAGGGGGTCCCCCGCCCAATGGGCCTGACCAGGGCCCTGCGCCGCCTGAGCGGCGCCCTGGAGTCAGGAGACAGCAGAGCTGGAGATGAGGAGGCGGCTGAGCAGGGGTTGTGCCGCAACGGGTGGGCGCCGGCGGTGTCCCCGGTGGGCGCACGCCGGGGACGTTTCGTCAAGAAGGACGGCCACTGCAACGTGCGCTTCGTGAACCTGGGCGGCCAGGGGGCGCGCTACCTCAGCGATCTGTTCACGACGTGCGTGGACGTGCGCTGGCGCTGGATGTGCCTGCTCTTCTCCTGCTCCTTCCTGGCCTCCTGGCTGCTCTTCGGCCTGGCCTTCTGGCTCATCGCCTCGCTGCATGGCGACCTGGCCGCCCCACCGCCGGCCGCGCCCTGCTTCTCGCATGTGGCCAGCTTCCTGGCCGCCTTCCTCTTCGCGCTGGAGACACAGACGTCCATCGGCTACGGCGTGCGCAGCGTCACCGAGGAGTGCCCGGCCGCCGTGGCCGCCGTGGTGCTGCAGTGCATCGCCGGCTGCGTGCTCGACGCCTTCGTCGTGGGCGCCGTCATGGCCAAGATGGCCAAGCCCAAGAAACGCAACGAGACGCTCGTCTTCAGCGAGAACGCCGTCGTGGCGCTGCGCGATCGCCGCCTCTGCCTCATGTGGCGCGTGGGCAACCTGCGCCGTAGCCACCTCGTGGAGGCCCACGTGCGGGCCCAACTACTGCAGGTGCGTGCCCGCCCCAGCCGGCGCAGGGCCTCGGGAAGTAGGGCGGGCGGGCGAGCCCCCGGTGGATTGTGGGAGATGTAGGCTTGCGGTGCGTGTTAGGTGTGCAGAGGGCCTGGAAAGGGCGTGTGGATTACCATTCCCAGTAGCCTCAGGGGAAGCAGGACATCCTAGTGGACTGTCAGTGATTCGTCGAGCAGACACGAGAGGAGTCTGTGAGCAGTTCTTCCTGGAGCCCTGGATATAGTCCCCAACACATATGGGGACATAAGCAGCTTCCTGCGGCTTGAGGATGAACTCCTATGGTAACATGGGATACGTTGGTGTGTGTGTGGTGTCACCTCTAAAGGTGCTGACTACAATTCCCATGAGACTTTGGGGCAGCGGAAGTTCTCTACTCGGGCCAACTGAGCAGAGGTAAATAGGTGGTGGGCTTGTATGCTCCTTTGAGGACTCAAGTTTACAATTCCAGGTAACACTGTGGCTCAGAGAGTGGTCTGTGGCTTGAGGACAGGTTCCAATGGGATTGTGGGAAATACAGGCTGGAGGGTGGGGTGGAGCTCACACCTCCATAGCTGTGGACTGTTCTTCACATTTTCTGAGGATGAGTCCTGCAACATTAGTGGGAGACTTCCTTCTTCAACTCAGTGAGACCTTGTTGATCTTTGAATTGTGGTCAACAGTCCAAAACAGGTCTCAATTCCCAATAAATTATAGGCAGCAGTTGTCCATGACCAAATAAAGACACCTGAGAACCCAGGGCTGAGGCAGGGCTGAGGAGGTAGGGAAGGATGGGGTGGTGATTTTAATTGAAATGTCCAGTGGCCCCTGGGGTTTTCCAGAGACCCTTGCACAAGAATGAGTACTTGCTGGTGTCTCTCTCTCTTTTTCTTTTTTTTTAATTTAAGATTTTTTTATTGTGGATTGAGTAAAAGTTTCCAAGGCATATCATCAGTTTTACATTCAACAAATCATACACCTTGTTTCTTTACAATGATTATAATCCCCTCCATGTACCATCAGTTAACAGTGTTTTTCTCTATTCACTTTAGCTTTTTTTTTTAAACACTTAGGCATTTATAATAATTGACACCACCAAAGGGCACGTTCTGCAAGTCTGCCTCCTGGCCACCAGCTCTTAGTCCCTCACTTCCCATGAATCTAGAGTCCGCAGCTGCTCTCTCTCTCCATGTCCCCATCTCTGCCTCCATCTCTGGTGTTGTTGCTTCTCTGGATAAGGTCTCTCATTCCACTTGTGCTCTTCTCCCTTGATGATCCTAGGGTTCGCTGGTGTCTCTTGAAGGCTGCTGGAGACCCCAAGATTCCTGAACCAGAGGGGCATTAAATTCCCAGAAGTCTGTGGGGTAGTGACATGGCCTGACATGGGTAGGGATGGAGAGAACCAGTGGGTAGGGGGGGTGAAACTACAAATACCTGTGGACCTGAGGATTGTCTGTCCCCAGAGGCATGGGCACACACACACACACAATGTGATGGAGGATCTGGTCGTAGGGTTGGGGTGGGGAGGGGAGGATAACTAGCGTGTTAGCATTGGAGTAAAGAGTGGTTGGATCATTGTTGTCTTAACTCCCCTTTCTTGTCACCTGGATTATTTTTTTCTGGCCGTATGTTTACATTTTTCTCCTCCTCTCCCTGTCATCTTTATCATCATCCCTGTCTCTTTGATTTTGTTTTTGTCTTGCTGATTCCTGTGTCCTTATTATTCTATCCTTTACCATCTCCCCGCCCCCCTCTCTCTGGGTTTACATCCCCAAATCCCCTCTGAGCCTTTGTCTCTCTCTCTTTATCTCTGGGCCCTCTGGGTCTCCATCCACCCTCCCGCTCTCTGGTCTTTGTCCTCTTCTCTCTGTGTCTCTGGCCCTTCTCTCCCGGGGGGGTCTGGGTTCTCATTCCCTGGCCCCGCCCCCCCCCACTCCCCTATGGTCTTTGTTCTGCTCTTTCTCTGCATTTCGATTCCTTCCTCTCCTTTTCTCTTTTCCTCTCTGTGCTCCCCACTCTGGTTGTCTTTGATCCCTGTTGCTGCAGCCCCGTGTAACCCCAGAGGGTGAATACATTCCGTTGGACCACCAGGATGTGGACGTGGGCTTCGATGGCGGCACTGACCGAATCTTCCTCGTGTCTCCTATCACCATCGTGCATGAGATCGACTCTGCCAGTCCCCTGTATGAGTTCGGCCGGGCGGAGCTGGCCCAGGCTGACTTTGAGCTGGTGGTCATTCTGGAGGGCATGGTGGAGGCCACAGCCATGACCACGCAGTGCCGTTCCTCCTACCTTCCTGGCGAGCTGCTCTGGGGCCATCGTTTTGAACCAGTCCTCTTCCAGCGTGGCTCCCAGTATGAGGTCGACTACCGTCATTTCCATCGCACTTACGAGGTCCCAGGGACACCTGTGTGTAGCACCAAGGAGCTGGATGAACGGGCAGAGCAGGAATCCCACAGCCCCAAGGCTAGCTTTCCTGACTCTTTGGCTGCATTTTGTTATGAGAATGAACTTGCTCTGAGCTTCTGCCAGGAGGAAGAAGAGGTCAAGGAGGGGGATGGGGCGGAGGCAGAAGATGGGGCTGCTAGCCCCAGAGTCCTCACTCCCCCACTGCCATTGACCCTGCCTCCATGATGTGAGCCCGAGGCACCCATCTGAGAGGTTTCCAGATGGAAAGATGGGCCCTTTCCTGGGAGGAGGCAGGTATTTTCCCAACGTTGACAGGTTTACTGGGTCCTACCCTGCCTGGTGGACCCACCTTAGACATACTGGACCTTAATTCCTCTGTATTCCGTGGTCCTTAGGAGATCCCCATATAAGCCTCATTCCTGAGTCTTGTCAGAGCGGAGGGATTTAGAATCCTGGACCATGTAAGAGACAAGGACAAGTGGTTCTAGAGTCCTCTGTTCCTGAGAAATTGGAATCAGTGAGTCAGAAATCAATGATCTACATCATTTTTAGGGAAGTAAGTCAGCAGTTCTTGAACAGCAACAGATGTCAAACGTTTGTAGGTCTGGATTAACCTAAGATTCAAGGGATTCCCCCACTGCTTCTAGATTTCACTGGTATCTCCATCACTCAGTGAGGGAAGGTTACGGAATGCCCTAAGTATTCAATCCCCTCTTGATTGACCAAAGACGAACACTAGTGACTGCAAGTCAAGAACGACCTTATGGTTCCGGAAAGCCCAAGAGCTGAGATTCTGAGACCGGATGGAGCACGGAGGCAAGCACTTGGTGACTGAAGACCAGCTTTGGCCTCCAGAATAAAACCACCAAAGAAATTAGAGTTACACTTCTAGAAAACACGAAGTAATGGGGAGTCTGTGGGTCTAGAAGGACTAGACATGGGGAATTCTTGGTATTAAATAGCTCCAGACCACTGACAGTTGAACACCCAACTGAGTGGAAGTACTGATTCAGCACGTTGGGGGAGAAAACAGCGCCCTTCTAGAATCCCCAAAGGATTTCGGATCCTATGGGTCTAGATTGATCTCAGTGTGATGTGGGATGACTTTAGACATGTAAGATTCCAGTTTGCCCAATGAAGTTGAGAATCCCAGTGATTCTAGATCATGATGGTTCTGTAATGCCAAAAGGAATTAAGACTCTAGAGATCCATGACCAAAGCCTAGAAGTTGGACTCACTTTCAGATGGAATGCTTGGTCCTTCTACGAGGTGGACTCACGAATTGAGAAGCAGTATTTCTGGGCTGCCCAACAAGGTGAGGGCCCAGGGCAACAGGGCTAGTTAGTGGACAGGGAGAAGGGGAAGTCTAGAACGTTCTGGAGTTCTACACCTACTTATGTGTATCTATTTCTAAAAGATGTTATACATATATGTACCTTATATATAACATAAATACAGATATCTATTTTCCCCGCCTGGTTCCTACACCTGAGTTAAAAATTGATCATTGGAACAAGTGCTTTACAAGAATTCTGGAAGCTTGGTGCTGAATCCCAACTCTATCCCAATTTACTGTTAGACTTTGTCTTGATCTCAGTTTCCCTACCTGTAAAAGGGCCCTTGAAGCAGGATGGCTCATCATGTCTCTGAGGGTGGGATGGATGAAAGGGTCCTGTCATTTCCTGGCTCTCTTTGGTGATGACACATTCCATCTTCTGGATGGCAGGGAGAGGGAGCCTCATGGAAACTGGCTCTGAACTAGGTGTCTGAGTCATGGGATAGGTTATGGGTAGTGCAGGATGTGGCCAAGGACCACATCACTTCCTTCCTGTTCAGCTCAAGGGACTAGGGAAGGAGGGGCAAGGTTAGAATGCTAGGGAACATACCCACAGTGAATACAGTGTGTATTTTGGGGGCCACAGCTGTCCCTCAGATTAAAAAACTGGGAACCCTGCTGGGTATGTCTGTGAGTGTTTCTGGGACATGGGTCCTCAGACCTGGCCCCTGACCCATGTTCCCATCTACCTAAGTATCCTCCAGGCTGAGTGCCAAATGCACATGGAGCCAGTGCCAAGGGAGAGGCTATGTTTCCACACTCATTGCCATGAGCCTGCCCAAGTGCTGCATTAACCCAGATCCCCTCTTCTGGTGTCCCCACCTCCCCTTTATCCTTCAGAATCCCAGCGTAATGACCGGATGGGATTAGTTAGCTGGCTTCTCTCCTAGCTTGGGTGTCTGGGGTCAGGTCTGGGGACCATGAAATCATGGCCCTGAGGGTTAGAGGAAAGGGTGTTGGGTAAAGGGACGGAGAGGATATTTGGAAGGAGAGAGGCAGGGCAGGGCTGGCACCATCTGGGTCACCTCTGGGAATGGCAGGGCTTGGGCCAGCCAGTCCTAAAGGTCACTGAGATTAGGTGGTTCTGTGTCTAATCTGTCATTAACCAGGTCCTGGCCTGAGTCTGTCCCCACCTGCCCAGTCTGGGAACAGTGAGTGATGAGGAGACCCAGACACCCCTTTAGCCCCAATGAGGGACCTGTATCTCAACAGGGTTGCCTAGGATCCTTCAGGTAATGGGAAGGAGAGACTGCGGAGAAGTGTCCAGTAGGAGGGAGGACCAAGAGGGATAGGGCTTTTGAGAGGGATAAGCAATCAGAGAGGTGGGTGAGTGTAAGGAAAGGTGACTTGTTTTAGGAGTAGACTGTCAGCAGAAGTGAGCAGTTTTGGGAAGAGGATGCTAAGGTAGGGGAGAATGTTGAGGTGAGGGCTGGAGTTTGAGGGAGGGAGGTACTTGAGAAGGAGAGGGACCTTAGAGGCTGAAAGCACCAGAAGGTAGAATTTTCGCTTTCACTGTATTTGACTTTCTCCTCTTTAAGTGCCATCTAGTTATTCCAGTTTATAGTGACCCCGTACAGGGTTTCCGAGGTTGTAAAACTTTGCGGAAGCAGAAAGCCTCATTTTCCTCCAGTGGTTTTCTTTCACTGGTGGTTCCATCGACCTAGTGGTTCTACAGTCCGATGCTTAGCCTAGAGACTCACCTGGCTCCCATAAAGTGGAATTGTTAAATTCTGTTGAGTCCATTCTGACTCATAGCGACCCTGTATAGGGTTTCTGAGGACCTTGAGGTTCAAGCCGACTTTGCAGTCTAGAGCATTAACTCGAAGTGCAACACTTTGTTGTTGTTAAGTGCCATCGAGTCGGTTCCGACCCATAGTGACCCTGTAGAGGATTTCCGAGGAGTGACTGGTGGGCTTGAACCGCCGACCTTGCAGTTCAAACGGTTTTGCAGTCTGGCACATCAACCCACAGCGCCACACCAGGACTCCTTCATAAAGTGGAGAGTCAGTGGAAAAGAGAAATAATGGGCTTCTATGTGACAACAATTTTGTGGAAGGCGCAGAACCAGGCAGTGTTTTGTGTTGTGCATAGGGTCCCTATGAATCAGGAAGTGACTGGATTCCTCCTAACAACATTGTTCCATTCTCTATAACAGATGCCAAATAACAAAGGGTCAAAAAGAGTAAGTCTTTTGTTTCATATCTCCCTGACGCTAACGAGCCTGAGGTGGAAAGAACGGTCCTGCGAGGGATTTTTTTGGGGGGGAAAAAAAAAAAAGGGTCTGGAGAGAGGAGGGGGGCCTAAGTTTAGGGACGTACCCAAAGGATCTAGGCCAAAGAAAGGTAAGCCAAAATGGCTCCCGGTTGCCTGGTAACCCCTGCCGTCAAAAGCCAACGTGGCCAGCTAGTAGGTGGGGCTCACTGAAACAACAGATAGTTGTGGCCCCTCCCCTTAGCAACAAAATTCACAAAGTACCGCCTTCCAGCAACTAAAGCCGGGAATCGGGTGAACTAATTTCGGAGCACCCAGAGGCCTTGCGCTGTCGCGTTTCTCCTAGTCCTAGTAGAGCACCACCTCCATGCAACTGCTATCCTAAGCTTCTCATTGGCGGGTCATCCTGCCAAAGTCTTTCTTTTGTTCCAGAGGCGGGGCCTTGTGCTCGAACTGCGCTCCGACTGGCTCCTCAGACCGTCTTCCTCCCGCCCGACAGGCCTATATCTATTTCTTGGGCGACCATTGGCTCTTGAGAACGGGTTTTCCGTTTCGGGGGCGGAGCAAACGAGAGGGGCCTCTGTGGATTGGAGGGTGTCAAAACGAGGGGCGGTCCTTACTGGCGGGGCGGTTGGGAGACGAAGGGAGAGTCTTTTCAGCGCTGAGGACTGGCGCTGAGGAGGCGGCGGTGGCTCCCGGGGCGTTTGAGCGGGCTCACCCGAGCCCGCGGGCCAACGCGGATCCCGGCCCGACCGGCGGGACCGCCCCGGACTCCCCGCGGGCCTTCCTAGCCGCCATGGAGGACGGTGTCTATGGTAAGTCGGCGAGGGGCGGGGCCGACGGGGCAGTGGATAGAACGCTTCCTCGCAAACGTTCCGCCGCGAACATTCCCTGCAGACGCGCGCCACGCGGAGACCTACTGGCCCGTCGACGGCTTGCCTTTGTGGGGCGCGCGGCCGGGTTTCCGGCGGGGCTCGAGAGCGGGGCGTTCCAGGCCATTGTTTGGGCCGAGCCTGTTTCCGGTGGCGGTGGGAGGGGGGCGGAATGGAGCAACAGAGGCGAGCCCGGGGAGGAATCAGCCCCGCCGCAGGGGCCCGGCGAACCCAGGGCCCTTCAGGAACGGGGAGCGGGGCACAGCTAACTGAGGAGAAATCGTGGGGGCTCCAAAGGTCCGGCTAAGACGGGGGCGGGAGCTTTCGATGCCCCGCCCCCCGGCCTGGGAGCCTTCGATGCCCCGCCCTCTTGGCCCAACTCTTGCCAGCTGTCACCTGCGTTCCCTGCCTTAATTACTTTGCATGGACCCAGGAGTCCGCGCCCCCTGCCCCGTCTTCACTCAACACCCAGGAACCCAGGTTCCCCAGCTCCCTCAGTGATGGAGTCAGGAAACCAAGGCCTCAGCTCCCTGCAAAGTAATGGACTTAGAAGTTCAGGTTTCTAGCTCTTTCATCCCCCAAACCTAAGCGTTCAGGCTCCCAACTCCCTTCTCCTTCAGACTCAGAAATGCAGACCCCAGGTCCCCTCTTCCGCCATGACTTCAGTGTTAGATCCCTAGCAAAAACATCTATGAACTTAGAAACCCAGGCTGCCAGCCCCTTCCTGCAGACATAGAAGTACTGACCCTTCCTCTACCCCAAGACTTCACAGCCCTGCCCCGCTGCCATCCTCCCCCCAGTCCTCAGGCCTGACCTCCAACTCCGGCCCCCAGAACCCCCAGACCTGACTCCGGAGGAGCGCATGGAGCTGGAGAACATCAGGCGGCGGAAGCAGGAGCTGCTGGTGGAGATACAGCGCCTGCGCGAAGAGCTGAGCGAAGCCATGAGCGAAGTCGAGGGTCTGGAGGCCAATGAGGGCAGGTGAGGACCAGGGCCAGGGATGTGGGCAGATCGGGACTGACCAAGCATTGATCCTCTGTCTTTGTCCTTTGCCGCCACAGCAAGACCTTACAACGGAACCGGAAGATGGCGATGGGTAGGAAGAAGTTCAACATGGACCCCAAGAAGGTGCTTGGGGTGACGGGATCTGGGGTCCTGCTAGGGACTTCTGGCAGCACTTCCAGGCTCCAAAAAAATAATGGCTATAAGTCTATTCCAAGCAGATAGACTTGGTCTTCAAGCTAAATTCAGATAGTAATCGTGCATTTGGGATGCTCACCAAGTGGTCCAGCCTCCTGACTTTTGCTTAGTGCTATGTCCCCTTTAGCGTAGTGGTTACGAATCGGGCTGCGAACCTCAAGGTCAGCAGTTCGAAACTACCAGCTGCTCTGCGGGAGAAAGATATGGCTTTTTGCTCCCATAAAGATTTACAGCCTCAGAAACCCTGTTCAGGGTCGCTATGGGTCGGAACCAACTCGACGGCACTAAACAACATGTCTCCTTTCTGCTCACATTCCTGGGCCCACTTCTGGTGTTACCTGGGATCCAAAGAGGAACTCGGGTCCGGAAGGGGACCAGGACAATGACATGCGTAAAGAAAGGGTGATGGGTGTCTGGGAGCTTTGAAGGATGAGTATGCTACCACCAGGTGGTCAGTCAGTCATTTAAAACTCATTTTCTGAGGTTACCTGTAGGCTAGGCTCTGTGCTAGGCAATCCTGGGAGCCCAGAAAGGAGTTAGACCCTGCCCTGCCCTCCAAAGCCCCCGACAGCCGTCACATTCCAAAGCAATATGCTGTAAGAATTTAGGTCCTCTTGGCATGGGTAGGAGCCTGCTGATGTCTGCTAAGACTTTCTCATTATTCATTATTCATTTTTCCCAAAGTACTTGTAGTTTGTGCAGTCATTCAACAAACATTTTTGGGGCACCTCTTCGTGGATGGGCCCTATCCTAAAGGCAGAGGTGGAGGGAAAAGCAGGTGGAAAGGCAACTGAGGCAGGAGGGATGGTCTTGTAGGACTTCCTCTGGTGGGGGTCGGGCTGGGAGGGAGGAGTGGCTTTCTGGCCCATGGCACTGAGCCCCAGCTCCCCGCCACCAGGGGATCCAGTTCTTGGTGGACAATGAACTGCTACAGAACACACCCGAAGAGATCGCCCGGTTCCTGTACAAGGGTGAGGGGCTGAACAAGACGGCCATCGGGGACTACCTTGGGGAGAGGTGAGCGCCCACTGCTCTTGCTGGGCCCCTCATGCATCCTTTCACACTGCCCCTCACATCTGTCCCCCACTTACTCCCTGCTGGCTGTCCATGGTGCACCCTGTAGCCACCCCCAGAGAGGCCTGAGAGGTCCTGGACAACTGACTCTGGCAGAAGGGCCAGTGCCCGGCCTCTGCTCCGTCTGTGAGCATCGAGGAATATGATGACCATGTGTAGTCATTTGGAAGCAGGGTGTTCATCTGAAAGTCTCGGGTACTTAGACCTAGACATCAGAGATGCATGGGAACCAGATGTTTGCACAGGACTGAACATCTGGGGTACGTGGGGACCATCTGTGAATTATCTGAGGACTTCGGGGGAACCTGGGAGGTCATCTGAGAGAGGTTATGGTTGATGAAGTGAACATTGCCTGTTTTTTTTTTCCCCATGTGTACAAAGGTCAGGTCAAACCAAGATTCTATCCCAAGAGCAGGGTCTGAGCATGGCACCCTGGCACCTGCGCTGGGATCAGGCCAGCCTGAGAGTTTCACACACAGGGGTGTGCTAGGGGTGGCAGAGAGGTCACATGGTCTCTGGGATGCTCTGCTCGCCCTCCACTGCGACCTACCCATGCCCTTGCTCCTTCCTGCCCTTGACTTTGTCCTTTGCCTCCTAGGGAAGAGCTGAACCTGGCAGTGCTCCATGCTTTCGTGGATCTGCATGAGTTCACTGACCTCAACCTGGTTCAGGCCCTCAGGTGAGTGGATGGGACTGGGAGGGCAGGAGTGTACCTTTCAGGGCTCTCTTAGTTGCAGGTGGCAAACCTTGCTCACAACAAAAGATTAGGGAATTGATTGCCTCATGAAATGTAAAAATCCTTGGGTCTCCTTCAGGCATAGCTGTATCCAGGTGCTCAAATGCTGTTAGAAAGCCAGCTTACATTTATATATCTTTGCTGTGCTCACTACTGTGTTGGCATTTCTCTCTGTAGACTCTCCTTCCACGTAATAATGGAAGCCCCTAGCAGCTACTTAGCAGGTCTGCTTATAAGCTTACTAAAAAGAGACTGTGAAACAAACAAACAAAACAAAACCAAAAAACAAACCCAGAAACCTCAAACCCATTACAGCTTATAGGAGGCGGTGGAACTGCGCCATGGGGCTTCTAAGGCTGTGCTGGTGTAGCAGTGTAAGACAAGCACTAGGCTGCTAAATGCAGGGTCGGTGATTCAAACCCACCAGCCGCTCCTTGGAAACCTGTGAGTCAGAACTGACTGAGCAGCACTTAACACTAATCTTCGTGGAATCAGTCTGTCCCATCTTTCTCCTTGAACTGGCAACCTTTTGGTTGGCATCTGAGCCCTTTGCCACGACATCACCAGGACTCGATTGTTTGCTTATAGAGTTAGCCAGGTCCCAGGGCCAGTGCTCATTGGTCAGATTAAATCACATGTCCATCCCTGAAGCAGCCAAGAGACTTGGAGCTCTCATTGGCCAGTTCCAAACATAGGGACCAAGGGGAGGGGAGGGGGTTCTGCCAGCTCTGGGTCCACGGCTGCCACTCCTAACCCCAGGCAGTTTCTGTGGAGCTTCCGCCTCCCCGGAGAGGCCCAGAAAATTGACCGGATGATGGAGGCCTTCGCACAGCGATACTGCCTCTGCAACCCTGGGGTTTTCCAGTCCACAGGTAGGGCCCGGGCTCTTGGGGTCAGGAGAGGGAGAGGCTGGGGGCCCTGAGTCCTGGGGAGCAGGGGGCTGGGGACCAGGACTTGTGGGTTGTTGGGAGCGAAGGGGCTGGGGCCCTGGAGTCCTGAGTCCGGCCTCATCACTCCTGACCTGTTGGACACAGACACATGCTACGTGCTGTCGTTCGCTGTGATCATGCTGAACACCAGCCTCCACAACCCCAACGTCCGTGACAAGCCGGGCCTGGAGCGTTTTGTGGCCATGAACCGGGGCATCAACGAGGGTGGGGACCTGCCTGAGGAGCTGCTCAGGGTCAGCCCCCCTGCTCCCCTCAGCCCATTCCCACTTCACTTCCCGCCACCCCCCAGCACACACAGGTTGCCTGGTGTTAGCTTGGCTCCCTCCGGATGCATTTCCAGGGCTGTGCCCCTCCCACCCACTGTCTGCTTATTCTAACAGTGCCTGTTTTTCTTTGTCTCTCGTTGACCCTTTTCGGGTTTCTGTCTGTCAGTCTGTCTCCTCTGACTGCCTGTTGGGTTTGCATCTGTTCTTCCTGTCCCTTGCCTGGGCCCCTCCGTACTTTGTGCCATCCGCTTCCCCCAGCCTGTTTTTTCTTCCCTGACGTGGCTTCAGCAACCTCGTCCCCAGTAGCCTCGGGAGGGTCCCAGGGCCTGGCATGGCTGACCTGACCATGACTTCCACAGAACCTCTACGACAGCATCCGGAACGAGCCCTTCAAGATTCCTGAGGACGACGGTAACGACCTGACCCACACCTTCTTCAACCCGGACCGCGAGGGCTGGCTCCTCAAGCTGGGTACGGCCCCACCACACCCCGCTAGCTGCCTCTGCAATGTGGGGGAGCTTGGAGGCCTGGGCTCCTGACTCAGTGTGCCTACACATTACCTGCTGTGTGACCTTAGGCCAGTTGTTTGCCCTCTGACTCTTCTTTTCCACATCTGACAAATGGGGTTGAACAGGAGATCAGGTCTGGGAGGGGCCCTATGAAGAAAGAGGCCACTGAGGACGAAGTGAGGACCCACTAGTGCAGTCTCCTCATGGGCCTGCTATCAGCAGCATTTATAGACAGTCTAGCCCCAGAGGCCTATTGTGCCACCTGACAGGACTCCCAGTGTCCAGGGCAGGACCCTGAACCCTTCAGCCAATGGCAGAGTGGCTGTGCCGGGTGTCACCTCCTTCCTAATCTATCCCTAGGAGCAGATAGGACATGGATATGTGTCCCAGAATCCCTTGGGCGACTTCTCACCAGGCCACCTGGTTGGGGTGGGAATAACCAGGTCTAGCTGGGATGACCCAGAGCTCTGGTGACACAGTGGGCTAAGCATTGGCTGCCAACCACAAGGTCAGCAGTTTGAACCAGCCAGCTGCTCTGAGGGAAAAAGATGAGGCTGTCTGTGTTAAAACTGATGGCCCTGAGAACCCTAGGAAGTAGTTCTGTCTTGTAGGGTCACAGTGAATTAGAATCAACTGTATGGTAGTGGACTTGATGTTTTGGCTTTACTGTGATGACCAGGATGGCTGGGGGTGGGGGCCTGTGGCTCTATCCTTTGGGTAGGTTAGCACAGTTCCTTGTAACGAGCGCCCTCTTTTGGGGCTGGCTGTGAGGACCAGAGGGTCTCTCCATCATACCTGCATAGGAGAGCCTCTGGGGCAACCTGAATCACTGGTCATGGTCAGAGCTCTCCATGGGCTTCCAGTGTCTGCCAGGGCTGGGGGCGAGGGGGCCACATGATGAGTGTTGGCTATAGCTTTAGAATGGAGACTCGGGAACGACTGCTTCCCGGGGAAAGATAATCAGGCGACTGTAGAGTCCAGTGGGTCAGGAGCCATGCAAGGCGGTGGAGTGGTCGTCAGAGGGAGCTTCCAGCCCAGCGCTGGGGCTCAAAGGAATGGCAGCTTTTCCTTTTTTGGTGGCTTGTGATTCATTTGCTTTGTTTTTTAAATTTTATTTTGTAATAGTACAAAGAGATGAAGTTGCAAAAATAGTACGAAAAGGCCCTGGACCTATCAGGAGCTCTGGTGGCACAGTGGTTAGGAGAGAGGCTTAGGACCAAAAGGTCTGCAGTGGCACCCCCCAGGCATCCGTGGGAGAGAGATGAGGCTGTGTACTTCCGTAGACGGACCGCCTGGTAGAAAGAAGGAAACTCTGGATTGGGTCTGCTCTGTCCTACAGGGTTACTGTGACTTAGAATCACAGAAGCCCTGGTGTGGTGCTGTAAGATAAACACCGAATTGCAAGGTCGGTTTGAACAGCAAGGTTGGTGGTTCAAATTCACCATGCTCCTCATAAACCCTATACAGGGTTGCTATGAGTCATGTTGGTTGCTATGAACCAACTTGGGATCCCTTAACAACAACAAAGCTTCCAAGAGAGGCCCCACCCCCAAAAGAGGCCCTACCTGTCTCGAAAGAAGATCATTGGAGAGTTGGAGAACAGAGTGGACGCGTGGCTGCAGGAATTGGAACTGGGAAGAGGAGCTGTGATTATAAAGGACACTTTCATTCTGGGTCCCAGTGGAGGTGTTTGTGTTTATGCAAACAATCCTTACCACTGGACCAGTAAATAACATCTTGATAAATGGAGGAAACATTGAAGTTGTCAAAGACTTCATCTTGCTTGGATCCACAATCAACCCTCCTGTTAGCAGCAGTCGGGAAATCCAACAACATTACTGCATTAGGTGAATCTGCTGCACAAGACCTCTTTGAAGGGTTCAAGAGCAAAGATGTCAGCTTGAGGACTAAGGTGTACTTGGCCCATGCCTTGGTATTTTCAATAGCCTCATTTGCTTGTGAAAGTCGGACAGTGAATAAGGAAGATAGTGGAAGACATCAAGCTCAATTGATGTATTTGATGTTGGAGAAGAACATTGAAGGTACCATGGACTGCCAAAAGAACAAACAAATCTGTGTTGGAAAAAGTACAGCCACAATGCTCCTTAGAAGCCTGGATGACCAGAGTTTGGACATGCTATCAGGAGTGACCAGTCCCTGGAGAAGGACATGCTTGCTAAGGTGGAGGGTCAGTGAAGGAAAAGATCCCCAATAAGATGGATCAACACTGATGGCAGCAATGAGCTGAAATGTAACAATTGTGAGGAGGGACAGGATCAGGCAGGGTTTCACGCTGTTGTGTCTAAGGTTCCTATGAGTTGGAAGCAACTGGACTACACCTAACAACAGTGCCAGATAAGTGGTTAAAGGGCTTAATGGCTGACCGGAAGGTTGGAGATTTAACTCTCCAGCTGCTAACCTCAGGGTCAGCAGTTCAAACCTACCAGCTGTTCCACGGGAGAAAGATGAGACTCTGCTCCCGTAAAGATTTACAGTCTGGGAAACCTGTGCAGGGTCGCTATGAGTCGGAACTGACTCCACGCTACTTAACAACAGGTGCCTTGGAAGAAAGCCTTGGTGATGTCGTGTTGAAAACTCAGCCATTGAAAGCTGTATGGAGAGCACAGTTCTGCTCTCATACACAGGGTCCCCAGGAGTTGGGGTGGACTCAGGGGCACCATGTCTGAAAACGTCAGTCACACACAGAGATGGACCAAAACCAACAAGTGTGTACAGAAACCAGTGACAGCTGAGTCAGGTGTGTCTGCTGGTTCCTCGTGTTTACACCAGCTGCACCCCTGGTTTGTGCTGCAGTTGGGAAGATGTGAACATTGGGGGGAACTGGGGCGACGGTCCCTAACCCGAGTCAGCATCTTCTAGGTCAGTGCAAGACTGCCCCATTGGGCTTCTGAGACTGCCCTCTTTTTCTCTTGGTTCAAAATGTCGACCTTCCGACCAGCAGATGAGTGCTTTAACCCCTGCGCCCCAGGCGCTTACACTGGTGCCAATCACCCACCAACCACCACAGACAGCCGGGGCCCAGGTCACTGGCCGAGGCCACTTTGTACCGCTGTCCTCTTTGTAAGAAACCTGGTGGTGCTGTGAGCTAAGCATTGAGTTGCTAACCTTAAGGTCAGTGGTTCAAATGCATCAGCCGCCCACCCCATGGGAGACAGGAGACGAGGCAGTCTGCTCCTGTATAGATTTACTGTCTTGGTGACCCCAGCAGCACTTGTGTGATGTCCTGTATAGGGTCATGATGAGTCAGAATTGACTTATGGCACTGGGTGGTTTTTGTGTGTGTGTTTTTAATGGGTCTGCTAACCACAAGGTTAGCGGTTCAATCCCACCAGCTGCCCCATGGGAGACCCGAAGGGCTTTCTGTTGTAAAGATTTACAGCCTGAGAACTGCTATGGAGTACTTCTTTGATGGCCTACAAGGTTACTGCATGTTGGGATAGTCTCGGTGGTGGCCCCCTCTGAGGGAAGAGATACTCGTGCCTTAGAATACTCAAATTCGGGCAAGGAATTTATGATGGTGTGGTGACTCAAAGGATGGTTAAGGAACACCATTGCTGGTTTTAGTTTGTGATTCCAAGACTGCAGGGAACCCAGGAGCAGTCCCTCCGGCACCAAGAAGGGGGGCGCAAATGGGTCTCCAGACTGACATTTTTCAGATTGGAGTCCAGAGAGAGCAAGTGTGGGTCCTAAGGTTACACAGCTTGGGCTGGAGCTGAGCTGACACTCCTATGTCCACCTCAGACCGTGACCTGGGAGGTTAGGCCTCCTGGGAAGAGACCTTTAACTGCGGCCAGAGCCCTCCCACATCCTGGGCATGAGGCAGTGGGTATTCCCAGTTGTTGTGGGGGGCTCTGGGATATTGTCTCCCCCTTGCACCTCCTGGGAGGGAGGGGGTCTGGGCATTCCCCTCTCATGTGGATGTAACTGGTTTTCTTCCCTCTCTCCCCCTCCCACCCTCTTCTCTTGGCCGCCTCCTCTCCACTGTGTCTGTCTCTGTCCACTCCTGGCACGCTCCTCACCTTGCCCCTCTTCTCTGTCGCCTTGCGGCTCTTGGGCTGCCCCTCTTCCTGTGCCATGGTCTTGCCTGCTTTCTTGCTGCCTTCCCCAGGAGGTAGGTACCTGCCACCGGTCCTCCCTCCTGACACTAGACCAGGGGAGGGGTCGCCCTGGCCCCCTGGGAGGAGGGCGGGTGACAGACAAGACTTAGAAGCACCTCAGATGGGGCCACAATGCGGGCCCCCACAGGCCTGCCCTGGCTCGCCTGTGTCCCGGAGCGCTGGCTTTGCCTTAGCCCCCCAGAACCCGCCTTTCCTGCTCTCTCGCTGCCTCTCCTGCCCCTCTCAGAGACCCTGTCTCCCCGCTGAGCCCAGGCCCCCTCCCACCCCTTCCCTTTCAGGGGGCCGGGTGAAGACGTGGAAACGGCGCTGGTTCATCCTGACAGACAACTGCCTCTACTACTTTGAGTACACTACGGTGAGGGCGGCATGGGGCTGGACTTCCGGGTCTGAGGGGGGCCTGGGACCAGGATTTCCGGGTTTGGGGGAGGAAGGCTGTCTTGGGAATTGGAGCCTGAGCTCGGTTGCATGTGGTGCTTCAGGACAAGGAGCCCCGCGGAATCATCCCCCTGGAGAATCTGAGCATCCGGGAGGTGGACGACCCCAGGAAACCTGTGAGAACCCCGCTCTGCCCCTTCCTGGTGGTGGGGAGCTGCTCAGGTCCATGTCCCGCTCTCACTGCCATCTCTCTGCTCCCGCCTCTCCACAGAACTGCTTTGAGCTGTACATCCCCAACAACAAGGGGCAGCTCATCAAAGCCTGCAAGACGGAGGCCGATGGGCGCGTGGTGGAGGGCAACCATATGGTGTATAGGATCTCCGCGCCCACACAGGAGGAGAAGGACGAGTGGATCAAGTCTATCCAGTGAGTCTCCAGGGCTGAGGGTGGAGGGTGGAGGTCGGAAGGGTGCCTGGGGAGGGGGGTGGGGTGGTCCTCACGCTGGGACCCCGCCCCTTCCTCCACAGGGCGGCCGTGAGCGTGGACCCATTCTATGAGATGCTGGCGGCGCGAAAGAAGCGCATTTCCGTCAAGAAGAAGCAGGAGCAGCCCTGACCCCCAGCCCCCAACTCCATTATTTATTTGGGAGCTGCCCCGCCCGGGTGGCCGGACCCCTGGGCCCTGGGGCTGCGGATCCTGGTTTCTCGTTTGGAAAAGTCACCACTTGGAGCTCCAATCTCGTGATTTGTAATTAACACTCTGTTGGTAATCTTATTAATTATTTAACCACTTGCGGCCTGCCAACCCCCTCATTTCTTGGGGTATTCATTCTTGAGGTGCAAGGGAACATTCTGGAAGGTGGGGTGGGGTGTGATGGTGTCAGGATGTTGCTGGCGGGACTGGGTTGTTTACCAAGGTGGGATTGAGCCTGGGACCAGAGGCTCAGCCTCCTTTAGAGAAAACTATGCCAAGGAGATCTGATGTGGCACTGTACTGGTAGTTACCAGGTGTCATTAGTTCAAACCCACCAGCTGTTCCTGGGTATACAGGATCGCTATGAGTCTGCACCGACTTGAAGGCACTTAATAACGTGCCTCAGAACCAACAGGAAGACACTGGTCCCTTTGCCTTCTCAAGGTTGAGAAAAGAGGTCTGAAGGTCCCGACCGCTTCAGCTCTCAGAAGCTGGTGGAAAATGGAATTTCCGAATGAGAAGATGGAACTCCTAACTCCTCCCAAAGATGAGGGAAATGAGTCACCCAGCCTCAGAAGGTCATGGGAAATGAAAACCAAAATTGGGTGGTTGGTTGGTTTAGCGCCCGCCTCAGCATCCCTGTGTTTTTCAGAGAAGTACGGAGCACTGCAGGGTTTTCCGGAACTGTGACTTTTCAGAAGTAACTCCCCAAGCTTTTCTTCCAGAGAGCCTTTGGGTGGATGGGTGTCTCCAGCCTTTCAGTTACCAGCTAAGCCAATCCACCTTCTCCATGGAGGACCCCCATTAGTACTGAGAACCTGAAGTAGCTGGTTCTATGGAGGTACCATGACAAGCACTCCAGGTGGAGGGAACAGCATGCACAGAGGTCTTTGAGGGCAGGAGAAGCAGCTGACAGTGGCTGGCATGTGTGTACGGTGGTGATGGAGGTAGGGTGTGCTAGATGGAGTCCCATCGGCGCTGCTCGGCAATAGCAGGACCTTCACTATACCTAGTGACGTACATGGGGCACCATCCGAGGACATGGAGCAGGAGAGTGATGTTTATGTATGGGATGTAGGTAGGTGCTTAGAGCTGCTGTGAGGAATAAATTAGCATAGTGATTATGAATCGGGCTGTGAACCACAAGGTCAGCAGTTAGAAACTATCAGCTGTTCTGAGGGAGAAAGATGAGGCTTTCTGCTTCCGTAAAGATGTACAGGGTCGCTATGAGTCGGAACCGACTCCACGGCACATCACAACAACAACAACAACCAATCAGAAGGTGGCCTGCTGTTCGTCGTTCCTAGGGAGAACGATGGGGCTGCCTGCTTTGGAACACTTCCTCTCTGCCCTGCAGGCTCACAATGATTTGGAATCAGATCAATGGCAATGAGTGTAGGGGTGGAGCAGGCAGGTGGGTCAGAAGGCTATCAACTGCAGGTGAAGATGGGGTGGAGCGAGATGGATACATGCAAGATACTTGGAAGGACTTGCCCACAGCCAAGACGAGAATGCCAAGACACTGGGCTTGGCATCTTATGCGGAAGCATGATGTTGCCACTCACTGAAATGGTCAGCAAGGAGTTTTGGGGATGGGAGGGTGGGGAATCAATGGTCAATGGTTCTGTTTTGGCCACCCTAAGCTGCAGATGCCTGTGGACCATCCAAGCCAGCCTCAAAGACAAAACCCAACTAACCCTTTGTTGTGAAGTGGCCATTCCCACTCACAGCAACCCCATGTGATAGAGTGGAACTGCCCCAGGGCGTTTCCTTGGCTATAAGTAGATGGCCAGGCCCATTTCCCACAGGGCCACTGGATACGATGTCAACTGTCAACCTGTAGGTTAGCAACAGGTTGTAATTGCTGACGTTTCTCCGGGACTTCAACTAAACTCCAAACCAAAGCCACTGCAGACAGACCACTGCTATCTACCCTGTGGAACTGTTCATGAATGTTTCTGTGACTAAATCTTTGTGAGAGCAGACCGCCTCATCTTTCTCTGAGGAGAGGTTCATGGGTTTGAACCACTGGTGTTTTGGTGAGCAGTCAGTCCATTGATTAACACACTGTACCACCAGGGCTCCTCTAACCAGGCTTCATCCAAAAAACCTAATTCCCTGCCAGAGAGTCGATTCTGACACACTGTATCACTACAGGATAACATATAGAACTGTTCATGGGGTTTTCAAGGCCCCAAATCTTGACTGGAGCAGAGAGACTTCACTTCCTCCTCCAAAGGAGGACTTTTTGGTCAGCCCAGTGCTTAACCAAGTATGCCACCAGGGTTCCTTAATGGGGACCCCCAGACCCTCCTCCAGTTACCTTAAGATGGCTCTACAATCCTGTTTTCTCCCCAAGGATTGAAGATTCTTTTAGTCCCTTCCTCCCTCAGGACCAGGGTCCTGGCTCACAGCCCCCTCCTGTACTAGGGCTTCTAGGCCCCAGTCTCTTCTTCCTCAGTCCAGGGGTCCCAGCCCCCAGCCATTCCTCCCTCAGACCCAGGGGTCCTGGCCCCCTGCCCCTCTTCCCACAGCCCCCTCCTCCCTCAGACGCAGGGGTTCTGTCTTGGTTCCATCCAATGTACCCCAGACAGCAACGCTACCAGCACCCCTCTTCCCTGAACTATGCTAGTGACCCTGGTACTGCAGTGAAGGGACATCAGAGTCCACCACAAACCCACTCAGAGGAGAAAAGATAAGTGGAGACAGAAACTGAGGTCAGGAGAAATCCAGAAAAAGAAATTAAAACCAAAGACTGAAAGCAATACAGGACAGATAGCAACTGGGGGTGATGCTGACAAGACGCGCAGCTGTGAGAGACGCAAACAGGAACAGAGCCTGACGGAGGGAGGAGGAGACAGGAGAAAGACCTGGGCATGGAGGCAAGGGAAAACTGTCAGGTCAACGCAGAAATTGGATGAGATCAAACAGGGCAAGACAAGAGCTGAGAATTATTAGATGGCCTTGAGTTGGTCCCAACTCATGTATGCAGAGTCCTGAGGGGTTTCAGGGCTGGGGTCTTTTGGAAGCAGATTGCCAGGCCTTACTTCTGAGGTACTAACAAGCTTTTTGGTTAATTTTTCAGCACTACACCTTTGGTAGCGTAGTGGTTACGAATCGGGCTGCGAACCTTAAGGTCAGTGGTTCGAAACTACCAGCCGCTCCGCGGGAGAAAGATGAGGCTTTCTACTCCTGTAAGGATTTACACCCTCGGAAACCCTGTACAGGGTCGCTATGGGTCGGAACTGACTCGATGGCACTTAACAACAACAACAACAACACCTTTATGTGGAGCCCTAGTGTGGCGCTGTGGGTAAACGTGCTGGACTGCAAAATCAGTTTGAACAGAAAGAAAGGTCACCAGCTGCTCCTTGGAAACCCTATGTAGAGTTGCTAGGGGTCAGAACCAACACTTCACTTGAACAACAAACCATTTATGCACAACCCAGAATCTAGGGAGCTAAGAAGCAAAGGGGAAATATGGTCAGTAGGGTGGTCTTCTGGAGAAACGGATAAACTGAGGCAGAGCCACTCCTGGCAGGGAGGTAGAAGTTGACCTTTGAGGACCAGGGAGTGTTGTATGTAGGATGGTGTCAGAACAGAACAATGGAGGTTACTTCTCACCCCCTTGTGGCCACAGGGTCCAGAGCACAGGCCTCTACCCCCACTGGCTCCTTGTTGCCCCTTGAAGTGGAGGCTGCAGTTTGAGATGCTAATGCAAGGACGAGGCAGAGAAGTCAGGCCTCACCACAAACATTTCTGTTTCTGAGCCTCCACATCCCATCTGTCAACCCGGGGCGTGAGGATGGAATGTTCCGGATGGTTCTGGTTTCTTCTGGTTTAGCGCTCCACTCCCTGCATCCTTCTCCCCCACCTTCAACACCACCACCCTCCAAACACACACAGGCCCTGCGTTCCTCCAAAAAGTTGTTTTGTCTTTTTTAAATAATGTGAAAATGCCACGCACAGGTTTGGACCAGAAGCCCCTCCAAGGGCAGGGCTGGGGAGGGGAAGGGAAGACGAGAGATGGGGGGAGTCCAGGTCCCCAAAGCCTGCAGCCGCCCCCCCCAATTGGGGCCCGGAGTGGGTGAGGAAAGGCATCTGCTGTGCCCAGGGGCTCCAGGCCCCAAAGAGTTCAGTTCCGACAAGGCTCGCTCTGGGGGGTGGCGACGAGGGGCTTCCTGCCTCATTTGGCACCGAGGGGATCTGGGGGGTCAGGAGAGTCGTCTGGGGGGCTGGAGGGTGGGGGACCAGGGCCTCCCATTTGGCACATGGTGGGGGGAGGGGAGGGCCCCTCCTCAGGGGCCTCCCCGGAGGCGGCGTCTGCAGGGGTGGCAGTAGCTCCGTCATCCACAGAGGTTTCTACTCTCAGCCCCTCTTCTGGGGGCGCTGGGGGATCTGGTCTTCGGGGAATCAGTTCTCCACGGGGCCTGAGGGCAGCAGAAATACAAAGGGAAGTAAGCATGTGCATGCTCCTGGCTTCCACCTGACTGTGGCAAAGGAAAGCCTGTGTAACTCAGACCGCATGCTAGGTTGCCCCTTGGGACACCTGAGCCAGACCTTTCTTAGTCAGTTTCCCATTCAATCACATTCCACGCTGAAGATGTGTCTCCGGAAGAATCTCAGACGTTGTAGAAGAGTTTCGAATTGGTCTGTTTCCTCCCCTGAGGGTAGGGGTTTAGGAAACCATGTTGCTGAGTGGGTAACACTGGAGAGCACTTAATAACAACATCCACAGTGTCCAGCACAAGAAGTGTCCTAAAGCATCTGTCTCCCCCATGTTAAAAATCTCACCCCTGCCCATTCCGTAAATCCAGAAAACCAAGATCTGTGGGGTATAAACGCTCACATCACCAAAACCTCTCCCTGTCTCCACCCCTATCTCTGGCTCCATCACCTCATAACTGGGGAGTCTGGGTCTCGTCACTGCCCCTAGCCACTGCTCTGGAGTCTCAGTGTCCTGCTCTTTAAATGGTGAAAATGACCTTGTCTTCTCAAAGGGGTTGGAGGCTTTAGGATGGATACCTGTTGTAGTTAAGGTGCTATCCAGTGGTTTCCTAATCTTAGTGCCCCTATGTGGTGGAGTAAGATTGCCCCATGGGGCTTCCTGGGCTGTAATCTTTAGGGGAGCGGGTTGCCAGGTTTTTCTTCAGAGGAGTTGTTGGGTGGTTTTGAACGTCTAACCTTACCTGTTGCTAGAAATCCTAAAAGGATTCTAGTGGTACAAGTGAGTTCCACTGCTAGCTAAAAGATGTCATGCGATCTAGTCCTATAATTCTACTCTGTCACGTAGAGTCACGATGAGTTGGAACTGACTTGAGCCACACTCAGCATAGGGGTCTGAAGATGAACAGGGCAGGGGTGGTAGTGGAGAGAGCCCCCTTTCTCCCCCCTCTCCCCTGCCTTGGTCTGAGAAGCCACCAGGCTCAGCAGCTATTTGGGCCCACGCAGTGAAGGGGTTTCACACAATGGGGCCCTCCGTCTTCACTCCTGGTGACTTAAGGTGATGACATTCCTGCTCCAGGCTCACTCTACAGGCCTCGGCAGTGACTCACTGCTTGGCCAGTGTCCCCACACCCTGGAACCCAGCCCTGCCCTCCCTCATAGGGGCCCTGAGGTGGGGAAGGGCCTTCATCCTCCCAGTCTGTTGGTTTCCAGTCTCTCCCCTCCACATGGCTGCCAACTAAAGCTGATCTGCTCCTCCTCCTGCTCATGGGCCGTTCATGGCTCGCCACTTCCCTCCAGATAAAGTTCCAGTCCTCCCCCAGCCCACACTCAAGCCTTCCATGGTGGCCCCTGCCCACTCTTGCAACACACTCTCTAATCACCAATCCAACAGACAGCTTCCTCCTTTTCCCTGACCCAGCCCATCTCTCTCCTGCCTCTGCCAGAGAACCTTCCTTCCCTTGCCCCCCTCCTTCAAGTCCAGGCTTAAACGATAGTGCCCCCTGGAAGTCCTCCAAGTTTAGGACAAAACTTTTTCTCCTTGTATTGTGTGCTTGGTATCAGGGGTCTAGGGTTGAGGGCAGAGGGAGGCAGGGTTGGTGGATTCACTGGTGTTGCCCAGACCCAGTGGATACTCAATAAACATTCAGTTAATTAAGTGCAAGGGAGTCCTGGTAATTTAGTAGTTAAGTCCACATTGGGCTGCAGTTCGAATCTACCTTCTGTTCCCATAAAGAGTTACAGCCTCCTCGGAAATAGGAGTTGGAACCGACTCGACACCACACCATCACCAATGAAGCACAAGGAGTTCTGGTGTGGCACTGTAAGATAAGCACTGGATTGCTAATCACAAGATTGGTGGTTCAAATTCACCAGCTAGCTGATCCTTGGAAAGACTATATGGGGTCACTCTTCACAATAGTAACAATTAAGCACAAGGAGCCAGAGTGACACAGTGCTTTGCCATAGGCTGCTAAGCTAAAATAAAAGTAGGGGGGCTCATACCACCCAGCAGTTCTTGGGAGAAAGGCCATTTGGTCTGCTTCCATAAAGATCATAAGATATCCCTATGGGGCAATTCTACTCTGTATCACTGGGGATTGCCATGAGTGGGACCTGATCCCAGTGGCTTTCTTACTTTAAAATTTTTTAAAATTGTGAATTGAGTGAAGATTTAAGTGGTCTTCTTTATGCTGTTATTGTTAAATGCCTTTGTTTGGTTCCAGTTCATAGCGACCCTGCCTGGATAGGGTTAATGAAGAGCGGCTGGTGGGTTTGAAGCGCTGACCCAGCAGTTAGCAACAGTTCAATGCTTGTCTAGAGCACCACAACAAGGACTTGGGATTCCTGGATAGTGCAAACAGTTAACATGCATTTGTTAAATGACAAGTAAGTCGCTCCACCCAGAAGCATCTCAGAAGAAAGGACTGGTAAATTACTTAAAAATCAGCCACTGCAAAACCTTCTGGAACACAGTTCTACTTTGATGCACATGGGATCTCCAGGGGGGAAATCAAGTCTCTGGCAACTCCTAAAGGTTAATTAGTATAATAATAGCTAATTGAGGTCAAGGCTACATGACCAGGCTCCATGCTCAGGGATGGGGGTGGGTGGTTGGGTGGGTCTGGGATTAAACCCTTTCATTCCTTCGGTAATCTCATGAATCTGCTCACAGTATTATCCCCATTCTACACATAAGGAATTCTACACAAACTGAGGCACAGACTTGTTCTAAGAGCCAAGAAATGACAGAGCCACCTCTCAACTGGGATAAGATATAAAGGAGCAGGAAGGGAAACCTCACGTCCTACATATTCAAATCCTGCAACTCGCGGTGTTTCCAGGATGGCCAGCAGGTGGCAGGAGAGAGCAAGGCAGGGAGTTGCCGTGGGAGACACGCTGGACTACTCCCTGCTCTGGTTTCTGGCCCAGTTAGAAGCTGCTTGTGATGTGATCCTCTCCCAAGGTGGCGGTAGGGATTAGTGATACTCAGACACGAAACGCCACAGGAAAGGAGCTTGACAAACGGTGACTCGTGAAGAAGAAACGGATTCAAAGGTCAGGAGGCCTGTTGGTGACTCCTGGCTCCTCATTCCCTGCTGTGTGACCTCTCTGTGCCTCAGTTTCTCTTTTGTAAATGGAGATGAGACTAGAAACTACCTCGTGGGATCATTTTTGTTACAATAGCCAAAACCAAATCCACTGCCATTTACAGCAACTCTACAGGACAATATAGAACTGCCCACTAGTCATTCTGAGGCCGTCAATGTTTATTAAAGCAGATAGGTACAACTTTCCTACACAGAGCTGCTAGGAGGCTTGAACTGCCAATCTCTGGTTAGCAGCCAATCACTTAACCACCTTGTCACCAGGGACCCCGTTGTTGTAAGGTAAGGTCAAGTCAGTTCTGACTCATAGTGGCCCCTAATGACAGCACAGAACTGCTCCAAAGGGCTTCCTATGTAAACTTCCAAAAATACCTTTTTGTTGTGACTTGAATGAGGATTGACTGAGCAGATCATCAGTTTTACATTCAACAACCTATGTGATCTTTATGGGAGCAGCCAAGCACTTAACCACTGTATCATCAGAGCTCCCCATGGGATCATAACCCTTAATCAGAGCCACTGTTGTTGAATCTATTTCCATAGGGTTTCCAAGGCTGTAAATCTTTAGGGAAGCAGAAAGCCTCGTCTTTCTCCTGAGGAGCGGCTGCTGGGTTTGTGCGTATTCTACAACTCCACCAAATTGATTACAGATGTGTTAAGCACATTGTTTCTTGTTATTAAGCGCCGTCAAGTTGGTTCCTACTTATAGCAACCCTGTATAGGGTTTCCGAGCATTCATTTATGAGCCTGAACCCCCAACCTTCCAGTTCAAACAGACTTTGCAGTCCAGTGCATTAACCTGCAGCGTCGCTCATGCTTCAGATGATGAATATTATTATTATTAGTAAAGAGGTGTGCTTGTTTAAACCCACTGGCTGAGTGCTCTAGGTTTAGCTTTGCTCATGCTAGTTTCTTTTCTCTGAACCTCATGTATCTGAGCAGTGTTTTCCCTGAAAACCTGGGGGACCCCGGCTACTGCCGGACAAGGGTCTGGGGTAAAGACAGGCCGGCCTTTGGAGGGCCTCCTTACAGAAGGGGAAACTGAGGCTAAGGGAGGGGGTGTGACTACCCAAGACCACCGGATGAACACCAGGTCTGGTGGTGTTTCCAGAGTTAGATGGGATCCCAGGGATGAGCACCCACCGAGAGACGAGAAGGGGGCGGAGCGAGAGGTCAAGGGAGCAGGGCCATTCTGAGATGAGGACAGATTGACGGTGGAGAGGAAGATGGGGTAGAGAAGAGAAACAAAGGGAGGGGCGTCGGGTCTGAGGCACTATACCTGCGGGCCGGGCGTCGGGGGCCCGGCCGGGTGGCCCCGGGGTCTCCAGCGCAGGCGAGACGGAGAAGCGGGAGAAGCACAGGGGGGGGCCTGGCGGGGGGAGGAGGGGGAAATCCTCCGCCCACTCGAAACTGCCTCCTATGGGGTAGAGGAGTGGATGTGGTCAGACCCTCAGACTCTCTAGATACAATCCCCAACTTCAGTGCCCAGCCTTAGACCCCGCCTATTCGTCAGACCCCCACCCTTCCTCCAGCGTCACCCTAGACACTCCTCCGCCCCTCCTGCGGCCCCGCTCCCAGACCAAGCTCCACCCCTCACCAAAGCCGCTGTCGTTGTTGGGAAACCCATCTCCTGGGGTGGTGGGGTGGGGAGGTGTCGGGGGCGCAGGGGGCGTTGATGGGTCCGTGTCCCCCTCTGGGGGGCCCTGGACGCTCAGCTCGTTGGTTGGCGTCTCCTGAATGAGATTAGGGGAAGCGAATGGGCGTCATATCCCACCCACCGCACCCCCAACGAACAACAAAAAACAGGCAACATTTCTGGGGCTTCAGGCATCCCAACTCAGCCTCTGATGTGCTCTCTGGAGAGGGGGCTGGAGCCCTTGCCTGCCTTCTTTCTTTTTAAAAATTTAAAACTTTTGTTTTTTTTTTAATTGTGAACTGAGTGATACCTTAACCCCAGCCCTGTCCGAAGCTCCGCCCCTGATTTGAGCCCAGTCAACAGATAAACAGGCCACTGCAGGAACTCTCTGGCTCCTAATGCGCAGCCTCTGTGAGTGTCCCGCACTCAGTTATCCTCGTAAATTCCGCTCTGCCTTCAGGAGCCCCATCCGCCTCTGAAATCTTGGCGTCCAGAACTACCTGCTCCTAAGGACCTCAAGACCATCGTCCTACACATCTCCCACCCCAGCATGGGATGATCTGGTCCCAGACTCCCTAAGCGGCCCTCAGAAGTGGCCAACACCCCACGTCTGAGCTGTGTCCTGGTTCAAGACACTAGGCTTACTCATCACATGACCTCAGCCAGGTATGCCCCGCCCCTAACCACGCCTTCATCCCGTAAGCGCCTGCCCCTAGCTGGGTTCCCCTACTCACGCCTCCATCCCGCAAGCACCTCCCCCGCCCTCCCTTTTTCTTTAACTTTATTCCCCACACCAGGGAGGGCGGTGGCTCCATAGGATAAGCACTGGACTGCAAACCACAAGGTCGGCGATTCGAGCCCACCAGCCGCTCCTGTGGGAGAAAGATGAGACTTTCTGCTCCCGCAAAAGATTTAAAGCCTCAGAAACCCTATACAGGGTCTCTCTGAGTCAACAACGAACTCAATGACAACAAATCCCCCACACCTCTCTCAGTCAAGTCCCACTTACTCAGCACAATTCTGAAGCCCTCTCTTCACACTTCGCCCCCAGTTTCACAAGCTGTGCCTATCTCTGACCACACCCTAAAATATTTTAAGCTTACACAGCCCATTTCATAAGGTGCCCTGGTGGTGGTGTAGGATAAACACTAGACTGCTAACTACAAGATGGGCAGTTCAAACTCACCAGCCGTTCCAAGGGAGAAAGATGAGGCTTTCTGCTCTGGTAAAGCTTTACAGCCGCCTGTAGTGTAGTGGTTATGAATCAGGCTGCGAACTACAAGGTCAGCAGTTCGAAACTACCAGCTGTTCCGTGGGAGACAGTTGAAGCTTTCTGCTCCCGTAAAGATTTACAGCCTCGGAAACCCTGTACAGGGTCACTATGAGTCGGAACTGACTCCATGGCACTTAACAAC